ACTTTTAAGGGAATTCGTAAACAGTGTAGTAGACACTCTTTAGTATTCCATTGTGCTTCCACAATGTAGTGACCATACTGGCACTATGCCCCCAGCTGATCTTTCTTGAGCTCCTGTAGTTGTCACACAGCTAGCACAGCAGCCTGACAGGGATTCAGAGACACTAGTTTCCCATCAGGTCACTCTTCTTGTGATTGACAGTAGGCAGTGGGCAGATCCGTAGCTAATAAACAGCCAAGTATTGGCTATAGAATCCACCCGCTGCCTACTGTTAGTCACAAGGAAAGAGTGGACCTGATGAGAAACCAGTGTCTCAGCTTCCCCATCAGGCTCACTGTCAGCATCATGGGCTGTTGGCGGTGAAGCCAACAGTATCCTTAGAAACCAGTAGAAGGTGGAGAAGGGAGGGGGTAGAGGTGGCAAACATGCTGTCTACTACACATTGTGTAGAGACAGGTACTCTGCCTGTTTCTGTATGCCAAGTGAGAGTTGGTCTTAATCACCTCCAATTTTGTTAACTACAAACTGAGGTAATTATTTTTGGATTTGGTGTAGTAACAGGGCCACTTTGGAAACATCTGGTGAAGGCAATTTGAAAGGACCATACCACCAGAAAAGTGTTAGGACTTTATTGAATTACCGTGAATTATGCTTAAATCTTTTAAAATGATCTTCTTCATGAAAATAGCCCCAGCACCACTCCAAACTGCTCTCAACCAAGCAGCAAGCTGATGGAAAGGATCACTGCTATCTATATGTGAGCAGTGGTCTATCTGTAGAGGTCCCTTGCTAAGCCAGAGTTCTCCTATCATCAGGGAGTCTGAGCAACTTGTCAAATAGTACATTGTGTTGTAGTACATGTGATAATTAAGCATGAGACACTACAAAATCATTTCTAATTGTACACAATTACACAGGAACCCTGTATTACTGTAACATTTGTAAATCGATATCATTAAAAGACACCTCTTATCCCTGGTCACAGTGTATATGAGATGCATACCAATTTAGTTCTTGACTCCATTTGAAAGCTTACATTGAACTTGCAAGGCAAGACACAATATTTATGGCCTGTTCTGGATTTTTATGATTGTTTTAAAGGATCCCAGTTCCTGGTTATAAATCAGCATATTAATATAAGGCCATCACCAGTTAAATTTAACAGTCTTATTGTCAGCAATCTGTTCAATGGTGTAAAAATACTACAATGAATTGTACCTACTGTACAGGATGCCGGGAGTGTGTCCTGGATGGCAGGTATATTTCTCCACTATTTGGATTGTGGTCCCTTTAAGGGAGAGCTCAAGAGCCATTGTTAGTACTCAGGGGATCTCACTTATGCAGGGTGAGGGCAGAGCCATGGATAAGGGGGTACCACTGGTCCTCTTGTATGGGGCCCAGGCAGCTGGGTAAATCAGATGTGTGTAGGGAGGGTGGTCGGCATGCGGGAGGGGGAGCAATTACTGGAACCAATACCCTCTCTGAAGCAGCTGAAAGCCTGCTTCTCCTCCTCTCCCACTGGCTTTCAGGTGCTGCAGAGAGAGAGCCATACAGGGGATTGGTTTCAGTACCTGCCCCCCCCCAGTGCACCCATTGCCCTCCCTGTGCACCATGTGTTTCCCCCTACTTCCCAGGCCCCCCCGTATTCCACCACCCCCACAGTGCTGCTGGCTTCCCTCATTCCCACCGGCAGCTGCCAGCACACAATAGGATCCTTCAGAATGGAGAATGGGGGAAGGGTATAGCCCCTTCCTTTCCTAAATGAACACAATGAGTGATCGGTACCGATCACCATTCATTAAAAGTGAAGCATAGTAAACTGTATTTTTCTTGGGGGGGTGGGGCTATCAGGTTGGCTGTATGGGGCCCCGTGGTTTCTAACAGCAGCCCTGAGTGAGGGATTCAAGGGTAGTCCAGTCAGAGAGGAGAGGACTGCTTTTCAGTACTCTCTGGTAAGTCCTCTTTAGGGACCCAGAATTTTGGAGGTTCAAAGTTTTCTGAGGGAAGAACCTCCAAGCCCTGATAACAGGGACTCTGATCATGAAAAGGTTAAGCCACATGCAAGGAAGTCTTGATCAGCAGCAGGAAGGAAGCCTCAGATGTCTGAGAGGCAGAGTGGAGTGGGTCACAAGCTGCAAGCAAGTGTGAACTCTCTAGCAACTGAGACAATTACAGATGAACCCCCGTGGCCTTTGCAGCACCCTTAAACAAGTGGGAACCCTAAACCCCAATGTGGGTCCAAGAGTCTAGTGGTGAGCCTGCTGTATGGTTTTCTTATACCAGGACTTTGGACTGTTTGATTTACTTCTCCTATAGATAGTTTTTTTGTGTTTGCCTATTTTGAGAGTCCAGTAAAGACTATTTACTTTTACAAGTGGCTTTCTGGTGATCTCGGGCCCTCCATATCACACTACCTGAACAGAAAACAATCCATGGGCACTGACAACATATAATCCTCAGATCTTATCATACAATGAAACAATCATGGTTGTTAAAATATTTCTAAACTAATTGAATACATGAAAATATCATGTTCCTAATGGTTACTGGAACATACTTCAAACCCATAATTTACTTTTTTCTCTCTCTGAAAGGATTATATATAACCATAGATTTCTTAAAGCATTTCTAAAGTCATTTTTTCGGTTAAAAAAAATAAGCATGTTATACTTACCTGCTCTGTGCAATGGTATTGCACAGAGCAGCCCTGATCCTCCTCTTCTGGAGTTCCCCGTCATTGCTCATGGCTCCTGCTCTTCTCTGGCTCTTCCACTTTTCTGTTTGCCCCCATAGCAAACCGATTGCTATGGGGCCAGGCATCCAAGCTGAATCCCCAGCTGGGCTTTGTGTGTCTATTGAAACACACATTACAGCTCCGCCTTGCCCCATGCCGTCTCCTTACAGCATGGGACTGACAACAACAGGAGCCAATGGCTCCCAGTGGTGCGTCAATCCCTGTGAGTAGATGGAGAGGGAAGAGAAGAGATTAAGTCGTGCACAGCATTGGATCAAATGAGGACTCAGGTAAGTATTTAGGGAGATGGGGGAGCAAAGCAAGCTGTAAAACATTTTTACCTTAATGCAGGGAATGTACTAAGGTGAAAAACATTTGAGCTTCAGAGCCACTTTAAGAATAAAAGTCCAGGTTCTCTTCTCTGTTAGGTGTGGGATTCTAGAATTACCCCTATTATAATATAATCATCGATTGCTTTGCTTGTTTTACAGCATTTTATTCTGTGGTTGCTATTTTTAGCTTTTATCATTTTGTGGTTGCTGTGTTTAGCTTTTATTAATTTTATTTCACAGACAGGCAAATAAATGCCATTTCACACCCGTTGCTTACCTAATTGTCCTGTTTGTTTTCTTTGTACAGTAAGAAGATTAAGCAAGAAGCACATAATTTGAGATTTAACTATATAGTAGTACTGGTAATAGATCAAATTCCTTCATTCGGCATGCACAATGAATCCTAAACAACACAAAAGGGTTGAAGGCTTCTGATGGCTACGTAGAGTTTTCAGAAGGGATTTGAAACATGTCCAATACTTTGGATGTGGCTGTGCAAAAAGTTCATCTTCAGTATGTGCTGAGCCAGCATCCCTTTGTTGGAGGAATCTAGACAAAGCTAACCAGCCAGCCAGCCTTCTAACATCACTGTGCATTCCCATACTTCAAAAACAGTGCAAGAATATAGAAATCCCAGCTGTAATAAACTCCAATGTTACACCCTAAAAAAGTCTGTCTGTGGGTTGTGGTTGGGATACCAAAGGCTGGCAGCATTGTACCTTTTGTATCATGTATTATTTTATGCCAGATCCATTAGACTATCACCAAACAGGTAAATGTTCAGGTGTTTGGTCGAAGATTCGGTCCGAATTTGTTTTCAGACTGAACTTTATCCCATCCTACTCTCACCAGAATATGAATAGAGGAGGTATTCTCCAATAGGGACAGTCCATCCCCCACAGTTATTACCTTTTGTATCACTAGCCCCTCCCTCTTAGATTGTAAGCTCCCAGGATCAGGCCCTCCTAACCTTCTTGTATTGAACTTTACTGTTGCTGTATTGTCTCCCGTTATATTGTAAAGTGCTGAGCAAACTGTTGGCACTATATAAATCCTGTATAATAATAATAACAATAATTTCTGGTGATCCTGGTGACAACCAAGAATTCCCTCACTTTGGAGGGATTTCCTCTCATGTCCTGTCTTGGCTATGGGACAAAAAGTGAGAAGAAATCTTCTCAATGGGACACAGATGAAAACAAAACTCACAGGGGTTATACTATTCCTTACTGTATCTAAAAAAAAATTGCCTTCTGGTTTACTTTAACCAAAGAATAATGACTTATAGGCTTGCCTTGGCATTGATGCTTTCCAAGTGCTGCAATGATTTTTTTTTTCCTTTTTTTTTTAATTAAAAAACACCAAATAAATAAAGTGTTGCTAAGTGAATTAATCAATAATAAGTACAAAACCATATAATAATAAAAAATCTTGTGAATGCCCATAAAACTCAATAGTGATAACACAAATATATGAATAGTCCGTGATTACTGTAAAAAAACAATGACAAACTAAAAAGTGATGGAAAGTCCATGAAAAAAAGTGAGTAAAGTAATCCAAAGTCTATGAAAGTGAATCTTCTATTTCACCATGTGCAGCAAACTGACAACAAAGTGCTCCATAGGATTCCTCACATGGATGTAAACTCACCAAAAATATTTGCCTTCCATACTTTATATCTACAGAATATATACATAGTAATAGAAATGAGCGGAGTAAATATGGTGAAATTACTTCCACCACAAAATTATTGATTTTTGTGTTTACTGATGTTTCGCTAAAGCAGAATTTTTCATTTTCATTCAATGAACTGTTTGCTTAAAGTGTTACTAAACCCACAACAGCAAAATCAGTCTGTATATGCAGTAAAGCATGCTTGTTATGCTCACTGTGGAATCTAAGGGGTTAATCCTCTGCATTATGTAAAAAGACTGTTTGATCCTTTCTTCTCTGTCCCTCTTCTTGTTGAAATGACCATCTGATACAGACTGAACCCGTGGTCACATGCACATGCTTAGTTTGGTGTGTATTGCTAGAGAGGGTATTTTTTTTTTTCTTGGGAGGGTGAATGTGATCAGCACAGGGCCAATCAGCACTGTCCAGACAGAGGGTCAGAGATTTCACATCCTCCTAGAGCAGAAAGAAAACTCCTCCTACAAGCTTGAACCAGTGCTCTGCTGAAGTCACAGGACTGCTCTAACTTCTGATGAGAAAAGGTATTTAGCAGTTTATATTTACTAAAATAATTGCACTTCCATGTTCTGTATACTATAGGAGACCAGATACAGTAAATGCAAGGTCCTGGGTTTAGTAACACTTTAAATATAATTGGATATACTGGGTTTTTTTTTTTCTTTCTTCAGGGAAGCAGAAAGTAGCTTTTATGACCCTTTTAAGTAATGAAAATCCCATTGCACTCTTAGAAATCACCATGGAAAACAATTTCCAAATTTTGACTGAATTTTCAGGGGAATGAAAGTTCTCAATTCCATTCTTCCCTAAATAGAACTAGACACTAATGTCTACCAAAAATAAATTTAATAACCAGTAATTAAAGGAACAAAATGCTGCATTATCATGCTATGCATCAGTGTTTTCCAAGCGGGGTTCTGTAGAATCCTATGGTTCCGTGAGAAGTCCCCAGGGGTTCAGGGGCCAGCAGGAAGGATCACGCTATAAAAGAAGTCTTATTACAGCGGCATCCCACGCTATTCTGCATTTAAAGGAGACTAATACAACAGTGTACCTTTCTGTGTGCCCTCTACCCTTGTGTGCCCTGTACCCTTCTGTGTGCTCTGTACTCTTCTGTGTGCACTGTACCCTGCTGTGTGTCCCTTGTCTTGCTGTATACCCCATGCCCTGCTGTTTGTCCCGTACCTTGTTTTGTGCCCCATGCCCTGCTGTGTGCCTAATGATACACCCTGCTGTGAGCCCCATGTTATGGTGTGTGCCCCATGCCCTACTGTGAGACCCATGATATGCCCCATGTTCTGCTGTGTGCTCTATACCCTGCTGTGAGCCCCATGATGTACCCCATGTTCTACTGTGTGCATTATGATGTGCCCCATGCCCTGATGTGTGCCCTATGCCCTGCTGTGAGACCCATGATGTGCCCCATGATGTGCACCATGTTCTGTTGTGTGTCCTGTGATCCCCATGATGTGCCCATGTTCTGCTATGTGCCCCATGTTCTGCTCTGTGCCCCATGCTCTGCTGTGAGACCCATGATGTGCCCTATGTTCTGCTGTGTGCCATATGTTCTGCTTTGTGTCCTGTGATGTGCCCCATGTTCTGCTTTCTGCTCTGTGAAGTACCCCGTGACCTGCTGTGAGCCCCATGATCTGTCCTATGCGCTGCTGTGAGCCCCACGATCTGTCCCATGCCCTACTGTGAGCCCCATGATCTGTCCCATGTTCTGCTGTGTGCCCTGTGATGTGCCCCATGCCCTGCTGTGTGCCCTATGCCCTGCAATGAGCCCTATACTGGGTTTTTTTTCTTTCTTCAGGGAAGCAGAAAGTAGCTTTTATGACCCTTTTAAGTAATGAAAATCCCATTGCACTCTTAGAAATCACCATGGAAAACAATTTCCAAATTTTGACTGATTTTTTTCAGGGGAATGAAAGTTCTCAATTCCATTCTTATTTATTATTAAATTTTCCCTAAATAGAACTAGACACTAATGTCTACCAAAAATAAATTTAATAACCAGTAATTAAAGGAACAAAAATGCTGCATTATCATGCTATGCATCAGTGTTTTCCAAGCGGGGTTCTGTAGAATCCTATGGTTCCGTGAGAAGTCCCCAGGGGTTCAGGGGCCAGCAGGAAGGATCACGCTATAAAAGAAGTCTTATTACAGCGGCATCCCACGCTATTCTGCATTTAAAGGAGACTAATACAACAGTGTACCTTTCTGTGTGCCCTCTACCCTTGTGTGCCCTGTACCCTTCTGTGTGCTCTGTACTCTTCTGTGTGCACTGTACCCTGCTGTGTGTCCCTTGTCTTGCTGTATACCCCATGCCCTGCTGCTGTTTGTCCCGTACCTTGTTTTTGTGCCCCATGCCCTGCTGTGTGCCTAATGATACACCCTGCTGTGAGCCCCATGTTATGGTGTGTGCCCCATGCCCTACTGTGAGACCCATGATATGCCCCATGTTCTGCTGTGTGCTCTATACCCTGCTGTGAGCCCCATGATGTACCCCATGTTCTACTGTGTGCATTATGATGTGCCCCATGCCCTGATGTGTGCCCTATGCCCTGCTGTGAGACCCATGATGTGCCCCATGATGTGCACCATGTTCTGTTGTGTGTCCTGTGATCCCCATGATGTGCCCATGTTCTGCTATGTGCCCCATGTTCTGCTCTGTGCCCCATGCTCTGCTGTGAGACCCATGATGTGCCCTATGTTCTGCTGTGTGCCATATGTTCTGCTTTGTGTCCTGTGATGTGCCCCATGTTCTGCTTTCTGCTCTGTGAAGTGCCCCGTGACCTGCTGTGAGCCCCATGATCTGTCCTATGCGCTGCTGTGAGCCCCACGATCTGTCCCATGCCCTACTGTGAGCCCCATGATCTGTCCCATGTTCTGCTGTGTGCCCTGTGATGTGCCCCATGCCCTGCTGTGTGCCCTATGCCCTGCAATGAGCCCTATAATGTGCCCAATGATGTGCCTCATGTTCTGCTATGTGCCGCATGTCTGCTGTGTGCCCCATTCCCTGCAGTGAGCCCCATGATGTGCTCTGTGTTCTGCTGTTACCCTGTGATGTGCCCCATGCCATGCTGTGTTCCCTATACCTCGCTGTGAGCACCATCATGTGCCGTATGTTCTGCTGTTAGCCCCATGCTCTGCTGTGTGCCCCATGATGTACCCTATGTCCTGCGTGAGCCCTATGATGTGCCCCATGTTCTGATATGTGCCCTATGATGTGCCTCAGCATAACATGGGGCACATCATGGGGCTCACAGCAGGTCATAGGGCACACAGCAGGGCATGGGGCACATCACAGGGCACACAGCAGAACATAGGGTACATTGTGGGGCTCACGCAGGGCATGGGGCACATCATGGGGCACACAGCAGAGCATGGGGCACATAATACAACATGGGGCACATATTGGGCCTCACAGCAGAACATGGGGCACATCATGGGGCACTCAGCAGAACATGGGGCACATAGCTCACAGATAGGCATATGGCACAAAGCAGTCCATAGGGAAAATCATGAACATGGGGCACACCAGGGGTCCCACAGCAGAACATGGGGCACATCATGTGTCTTACAGCAAAAACATGAGGCACATCATGTAGTACACAGCAGAACATGGGGGCACATCATGGGGCTCACAGCAGAACATGGGGCACACATCAGAACATAAAGGGGCACATCATGGGGGGGCACACAGAGCAGAATATGGGGCACATAGCACAACATGGGGCACATCATGGGCCTTGCAGCAGAACATGGGGCACATAGCACAGCAAGGGGCACACAGCAGAACATGGGGCACATCATGGGGCTCACAGCAGCAGGAAAACATCATGGGGCTCACACAGCAGGATATGGGGCACATCACAGGACACACAGCACAACATAGGGCACATCGTGGGGCTTACAGCAGGGCATGGGGCACATAATGGGGCACAGAGCAGAACATGAGGCACATAGCAGAGCATTATGCACATCATGGGGCTCACAGCAGGGCATAGGACACACAGCAGGGCATGGGGCACATCATTTTTACCTTTGAGGAACCCCTAGCAAAAAGTTTGAGATTTCAGGGAACCCCTAAAATAAGGTTCAGATCTACAGCTCACGGAACATTGGTGTGATCAGTGAGTTGTGATATAACAAAAATTATTTTAAGAAATAGCATTAAAAAATAGAAAAAATATTAAAACTTACATACTTTACGTGAAATGTGTGCTGTTTTTTTTCTGCACAGATGCTCATTTCTGGGTTAAACTTGAGATAAGCAGTGTACAGTGAGGAGCAGGACAGAACACAGGAGGGCAGAAGGACACAATACGGGGGGGGGGGGGGGGGGGGGCAGCAGCAGCAGGTAAAATTATGGGGCACGTCAGGGCATATTACATGGGGGGCACAGCAGGACACATTGTGGGGTACAATAGGGCACATTACATAGGGGGCAGCAGGGCACATTATGGGGCACACAGCAGAACATGGGCACATCAGAGCACACGGCAGGGCATATAGCACACAGCAAGTTATGGGCCACATCATAGGGCGCACAGCAGAACATCATGGCACATCTTGGGGCTAATGTGTTGTTATGTGTTGTGACGTAACGCGTAGGGTGGGCTGATGACATCAAGCCGCAAACCGGAAGTCTACGTGCCGCCATTTTGCAAGTGGGATTACAGCAACTAACAATCTGGAGATCACTGTATCAGTGAGTTTTTAAACTGTGGTGTCCCAGTAGGACACATTTTAATGTGAGTGCAATATATATTTTTTAAATAAAGGCTGGTTGGTTGTACATACTACACTATATTCAGCTCTTTTTCTCTACATGACTGCAGAGTGGAGTGGATTCATTATAAAGTGTTGGCAAAGAGTGGGAAGAAGTTGTACGTTATACATACCTGCCCGGGTTTAAAAGGGAAAAGCGTAGTTTGACCCTGTCATTATGGGTCAAGCACTAAGGTGAGTGCATAAGTGTGTTGAAAGGTGGAGGAGCACAAAAGGGTGATACAGAAGCACTGTACACTTGAATATAGCGGTGTGATTACACCTGTTCACATAAAGTCATCGGGGATTATATGGAACTTTTATTATGGTTTATGTTATATTAAGTATCACAAGCACTGTGGATATAACTGGATATATATATCCAGTACATATAGCCAGTGTGGAATATATGAAACTTTGCATTATGTTTTATCATTAAGTGTTCACAAACACTGTGGAGTATTGTTCATGTTACACCATCACTGTGATGTCAAGTGCACATTCAGTGGATTCATGGATTATT